GGAACGGAGGGGAGGGGGGAGAGGAGAAAAGAACGAAACATGCAACATATAGCGCAGACATTAAAAATTCCCAATACCTGACAGCCAGTGCCTATCAGTATGGTTAAAAAAATAAATAAATAAAAGTTTACTGCTAGATTTATCAATAGCACTTCCTACTTTTGGGGGAAATTTTAAAGATAACCATGCAAAATCTCGGAAATTTTGGTCAGGCATGATTTGCACAGAAAGCTCTATTTGCATATAAACCCATTTTTTCTTTTTCCTTTTCCACCTTACAAGAACATATGGTCTGAACCATCATCTTTCTGTATATTTTAGGCATTTTTTCAGCATGAAGAGAAGACATCAGGCATTTTTATTAACATAAAAAAGCTACAGTTACAGGGAATGGCTAGTTTCACAATTTACAAGAGGGAACAATAGCACATCTAATATAAGGGGATGCTTCTACAGCTATGAAGGTAGCAGGAGAGATATTCATATAATGAAGAAAAAAAAAAACACTTGTAAGAAATTACACAAAAAATTTGGGTTTCAAGAATTTTGTACATAGACATTACATTTATATGTTGGGAAATACCACTAAATCATTTACTAGACCACTAAAACTTTTTCATCTCAAAAAGTTGATGGAGAAAAAAATCAATCAGTAAACCACAGAGGAAAATGCTCATTTCAATAAACATCCTAGCATCATTCCTGACTTAAATACAATAGAATGCTGATAATCAGTAAATTATGCATGCAAAAATTTATAAATTCTACATATTTTTGAAACAACAGTATTGGGATTCAAATCTACAAAAGAAATTTTAATACGTTCACATGAGATGCACTAACTAATTTTGCCTTCATTATTGAAAACTGTCATAAAAAATGAATATTTTCATTTTCAACAGGTGACGTCAAACAGTAATTTGCAAATCTGATAAAAATTTGTATTCTGTGAACTAAATTATACCACTGAATCAATATGGACTCTGAATATTGTTAATACTGGTATTTTCTGCTTTCTCTTTCCTATTCATTTATTTGTCCTGGGGGGAACTGATCTAGAAGTTTAAGATGAAAAATACAAAATGCTTTTCATTATAAATAGCAATATAAATCACATTCATTAATATTTTTCCTAATTGAGTATAAGCATCAATCTGAACCTCAACTTAATTACAAAATGGATAAGAAAAATTATTGCAATTTTCCCTTTACCTTTCTTGGGATAATCTTTATCACTGCATAATTCAAATACAAAATAATATATGACAAAAATAAATACAAAGGCAATGAAGTAAGCCATTTAGATTATATATTAATCTTATTCAAAGTAGAGTAAAAGTGTACACTTTCCTTTAAGAATATAATTTATTCAACAGAAAAAGGCAATCATTAATCTTTCACAATAACCTACATTTCTTGATTAGCAAAAGACAATGCCCATCCAAAGAAAAACATGCCATTCCTTACATTCCATAATTCTTAAATCTAAATTTATCTATTCCTATTATTCACATATTTAACTGAGGTAAAAAAGACCAAGAAAAAATATCAAGATATTTCAAGTAAACACCATATTTTCCAATCTCACCTTTATTTCTCAACTTTGGTGTACCTTGGTCGTCACTGCTCTCTGCAGAGGATCTTGTTTCCCAGTCACTCGAATTGGAAGAGGAGGTCCCACTCTGGCCCTCAGAGAGCTATATGAGGGAGAGAAGAATACTCTCATCACGGATGTAGTTTTAAATTTATAGGTAATCTCTGGGTCAGCAAATCATATACTAGTGGCCATTATCAAAGATGGAAGGCACTTATAGCAGGTTAAACAATAACAAGAAAGGTAAATACAAAAATGAGAAGTGTGACTGCCTACCTGTAATCTTGAAATGGCAGGATTAACTGTGGGCTGGAAGTTTGGCGGAAGACTAAATCGTGGATTCCCGTCACTTGTGGCACCACTGGAAGATATCGAAGAATTGCTACTCGACAGGCTGGTCTTTCCAACTTTGGCTGCGGCTAATCGTCGGCGAAGCTTTGGCATATCAAAGGGTAAGTCACTGAAGGGGACATCTTCCTTTTTGCTCTTGTGTAGTCCATATTCAATGCTGATGCCGCTGTCAGAGCCCTGGACATCACCCTCCCTTGGGGGGCCGGGCAGGATGTGATGGAAGTTGCGGAAATCTTCCTGGATGTTCCGGGGCTGCAGCGGAGTCTTCTGGCGGGCCAGGGCAGAATTGAACTCAGCCAGGTCCTGTGGTGAGCTCTTCTGCGAGAGCCCACCGTTCTCTGAAGACGGCTCCTGGGATTTGTCTGAAATGGGCGAAAGGATCTGGAACTTGGCTGACTGGATGAGTGACCTATGAGGGGCACACAGGTTCAGGAAGGGACGGGACATGAGGGAGGAATCGCTCCCCAAGGACGAACTTTTATAGCTGCTCACAGCGGATTCATTGCTGGCAGTGCTCTTGCTGCCATCACTCATGGAACTCCGCAGGCTCTCCAG